TCTCCGCCTTCCGGTTGACGTTCGTATTCCATTTCCTTGGCATTAATCCAGTTGTAAGCGGTCTTCTACTTCACCCCATTGGATCTCGCAACAACACGCCAATCCTCTCCCTCTTTGAGAGTCTGAACAATTCCAAGGAAATGGAATACGAACGTCAACCGAAAGGCGGAGAAAGGAAAAAGACTTTAAATGACACGGAGATTGACGAAATGATCGCATGGCTGGAAGAAGATCCCACAATCACATTGGAGCTGTTAAAAATCTGAATCAAGGCGGAGTTTGCGAAGGAGGTTTCACGCACAACAGTTGGAAATGATTATTTCTGTTCCAAGATGTCGTACAGCTCTGCTCCAATCTTCTTTTTCCTCCGAACTGCCAAACCGTAGAACACGTTCCCACATCGAATAATGACATTTCTTATATTACACAATGTGAATTACAGTTAAAGGTGAAATCCCTATGGACAAATAGTATACTGTAAGAGGGAGAGTAGGGGAACATTCGCGTAAGATCCAGTTTATTCATTCTGCGTTTAAAAAGTGTAAGATTTCAAGTTGGGGAAAAAAACAGCAAGTCAGAGGGTTTTCCACTGTCAGCACAGTTGTCCCGGCCACGAGGCATGATGGAAAAGTAGATGGAAGTGGATCAAACAAAATATCTTATGCCACATCTGCATAGGTGACTGAGGTGTCGTCAATGTCCAAGCGAAGACTTTGATTACACATGCCCCATGTAATGAAACGTGCATCGAATCGACTGCGTTCTGTTTCATTCAGTTCTGTGGGCTGGGTCAGGAATGGGCGAGCTACACTGAAGGTGTAACTGGTTTTGGTTTCTAGGTCATTGATGACAGCCAGCTCATCCACCCATGTTCACCTCAAAAACTCCAACCTCTGTCACTGAACCAATATTTTCATTGAAATAGGCCCATGATTCTCGTACATCGCTCAAATTGTACCGTAAGCCCAAAACTCGACCCTGGTCGTAGTTACTGTGGCCAGCTTTGATTATTGAGCTATCGTCAATGGTAGAGCTGGAGTGGGCACGAAACAGTGCGTCACCCTTCATGCAAATCGAGTGGCGTCCAGCATGGCTTCACCGACCCACCGATTCGACGTCCGTCACAGAGCTCGACAAGATGCAGGAATGAGGTCTGCCTCATTTCAGCACAGAAAGAGCGTGGGAAGACAGGTGGTCAATCCGGGATAGAAAAAGTGTGTGATCAATTGACCAATGAGGTAAGCTGAGCTGAAGCGGATCCAACCACAGCGTTTCTTTCTCAATTCTAAGTAATGGTTTGTCAATTCCCACTGACGGTTTCGCACATGAGAATAATGGTTTGTGAAACCTATCTTAAAATGGTTTAGACAATGAGTATCTTACTCGGGTATATTTCGGGTGGCTCAACCTTAGGGCCGTTTGTGTTTCTCCAATCGAAATCCTGGGTTTCGGGTCATCGGTTTTTTAAGTTGGTGTTCCTCACAGTGATAATTAATAATAGAGCCTGACCCGATAAAAATATAGATACATCAGATTAATTGGTGACAGAGATAATGTAGTATGCCCGTTGATCGAATTCGAAGGATAAGTTACAAGAAGCCCCAAGTTTGTTCAGTTAGTCTTATGGTTTTTCTGCTGTCGTGGTTATTGTGTAATGGCTCTGATTAAACTCGGAAGGATTCGGTACATCTCCATACTCTACGCCTGCTGAATAACGCATTCCCGCTCGCACAACGTTATCACAGAGCGCTTTCACAGGCCGAGCCTCCGAAAGCCTCAGGGGATGGGTGTCTAAGTTTGCCCCTGGTCACTCTTCCTTTGCACCTCTCGATATATATATATATATCTTTCACACACGTCAAACTTGCCAAACTGTGTGCTAAACAAATCGCAGTACAATAATCTTTATGAAAGGAAAAACGCTCCACGATTTGCAAGTGGGCCGAACACTGCCAGGTTACCCTCGCGAAATGCTCCCATACGGCCAAGCGTCTAAAATAGCTTCTGCTGAGGAAGTCCTACTCACCGCCTCCTAGTGGCAGAGGTGTTTTCCCACCAGAGTTGGAGTCCGAAAAACCAACACATAGGGCTCCAACCGGGTTGGTGGACTACGATCAGTTCACCTAAGGGAGTTGGCCAAGAACCCTGATTCCGAACAAACCGGGAGGAGGCGTACAAACCACACCCACATTTTCCCGGTTGTGGCAATGGTCCTCGCCTTGATTGGGTATCGAGGTGTATTGAACACCTTGGACGTTTGATACCTTTCAAAGGGCGTGTAATATGATGAAGTGGACACTGGCCCCCAATAGATTGCGGTTTTCACACACCGCCCACCCGCTGCCTTGCGGATCAGGCTTTGGCTAACTGAAGGCTCCGATTGTGAATTCCTCAGGAAAATTGACTTGCCTTGGTTTGGGCAACCTGGCAGTATTCGGCCCACATGCAAATCGTGGAACGTTTTCCTTTCTTATAAAGATTATTGTACCATTATTTGTTTGGCACAGTCTGGATTCAGAAGTGTGTAAAATATATAATATAAATATATTCAATTAGAAACAATATATCATGTCATGCGGCATACACACAAGATAACTTAGGGGCAAATATCTTTAGCTGAAGCAGTCACCGGTGTTGGACTGTTCTCCGAGCTTTCTCATGAGTGTTCAGACTTCTCGTTATGAGACTCGGTAATATCTTCGGCGCGATTTTCCTAAAGACGTCTTCTCGCGTCGCTCGTTTGCTCAGGGCTACAAACTGAAACACCTTATGATGGTTGTCGGCATCTGAGTGACAACGGACGAGTTGACCCTATATATCAAGTGTGGTCTTTACAATGTGATCGTTTGAAATTTGTTTGATTCTTTATCGGATTTATCCTTGTGCTTGACTTGGGATATTCAGGAGCTGGTCAAGCAATCAGTGCCTCCGGTGTGTCATCCCGGTCGTTTTTTTGAATCTTGGTGTTGGGGTATAGCCTCCTCATCTGGTCATTTCACATGACCACGTGTAATAATTGCTTCCCCCTTCGTGAAATTCGTTTGTAAAATCGTTCTATCAATAAAAAGAAGTAAGAATGAATTTTGTAATAGCACAGCATTGGAGATATGGTACAGTCGCCTTGATAATGCCTCTTTCAGGATCTCTTCATAACCAAGGTGGTAAACGAAAATGTTGCAAGTGATTTCATATTCAAACTGTCATAATCACACTTAAGACAAGGAGTAATGATGGTTTCAAACACCGATTGTGTAACCATTACAATTTAATAACGTCATTAGTACACCCGTGCGCAATATTTTGCATTTTTAGCCGGGGTAGTTAGTGCCTAACCCAGCTTTCTTTGTTAACATGGTTTGGATCCATTCCCGGTCGATTTTGATGTCTGTGTGCTGCGATTGGGTGTGTGACGGTAAACACTGAATCGGTGTTCATTAAGTACCCAGTTTCCGCTTGCTGGGAAACCGTGGAAATCGAGAATACATCGCTACTCTTTGTAGTTTAACCAACAAGTGTCAACTGATGTCTTTTCTTATTTATCTTGTCGTGAAATGCAAGCAGTGCCAAATCAGGATCATTTGAATTAGTAAATGAGCGTGGGTAAAGTGAACGGTTTGTCTTTGTTCTGGTCTTCCGTTAGTCTACCGACTCTCGCGTAGGGTCAACAACCACTCTGGAATTCCCTTCCAGCGATTGTGGTGGAAGAGAAGACAGACGCTGCTTTCAAACTGCGTCTGGATGAGCACCTGAAGGGGCTATGGAGGGACGAACACTTGTGATCGGGCCTTCGACCCAGTAGTGATGGGGCTTACACGGGCACTCTGCCCTCAATCCTAAAGACTGAAGACTGATTGTCGGGTGATTTTTGGAATGCTCACTTGAGTTTGGTTTCAGTTTTTACAGCACACATAATTGATGCCCGTTGATGCTGCTAAATTCCCACCATTCATCTTCGATCATCTTCTGTTCGTTGTATTCACGCAGTTTAATTCTTCCTACTCAAGTTTGACAAATAGGCTGTTTGGAATATTCATTTTCTAGCACCATGTTCTTCAGAATTTATAACTTTATCCTCAATCTTTCATTCGAGTTAATATATATTAAAATGGTAACCAACTAAAATGCAAACTTTTAAACTAATTACTTTACCGCTTCCTTCGTAAGACAGTTGATTTTGTGTGTGGTAGCTAAGGACCAACGAACGAACACGAAATCCACTTGATCCTACCTACCATCCACCCCCGTTTACACCACAATTAGACACAAACTGTTAGATGACGATGTCATTTTGCTATCCGGAATAAGTGTGATCGTAATAGCTTATCCGAAAATTGACCCTAAACGTACCTACGCCATGTTTTACTTATGGCAATGAGTTTATAACTTTCTTTTTGTTCATTAAAAGGTTAATGACAATGGTGCAACGCATCATATCACCGAATGGTAAGGTAAAATGCGTAGTCATTAGAATCGATATGGGAAATAGCATAATTAACTTTGATGGAAATGTTTGTGATAACCGACAAAGAGCATTGGGCAGCTGTTTCGTTCTGTTTGGGACTCGTCAACATTGCGTACTTTTTGTGTCCCTGTCAAGACTCTAATCGGGAACATTCGAGTTGGGACGTCAAACCCTTACCCCTGAGCTACACGGTCGACGGTCATCGCCTTGTGCAAATGGCTCAATCAA